AAAGAGCTACAGATGATGCTTCTGGCGATACAGACATCCTTAACCGCGTTGCAGTCATCCCAAGAGGCGATGTTAATTCAACAGGAAAACATTTCAGTTGAACAAACAGAATCTCTCAACAAACTGGATAATTCTATTAAGGGGTTTTTGGTGGTCGTTCAATTTAGAACTGAACAGAATACACAAAAAATACAACAAACATATGAAAAACTTGAAACAGTGGATAAAGAAACACAATTTATAAAGCCAATAAACCAGTTATCATGGGATTCGCTTGTTATGCTAGAGAGGGAAAAGGTATCCAAATGCTTGAGAGAGACTATGTTTAGGTGGCTATCGACAGAAGGAACATCTCTTACCTGGAATGTTGCAAGACACAAACCGGACTCGATTTTTAAGGCACAAGAGTTGTATGAAAAATTTAGAAGTATGTCTGAAGCGGAAGAATTGGGTGCCTCAGAAGAAGGAGGGGTGGGTGCTGAACTAACTACATGTCATTCTGAGGAAGGAGAAATAGTGAATACTGATTTGCAACAAGAGGTACAGACACTGGAAATGGACACTGATTTACAACAAGCACTACAGATACTGAAAAAAAGGAAAAGAGATGGGGCAGGGGTGTAAAGAAGAAATAACAGAATTTTCTATTTTAAAAGGAATGCTTTAAATGGGTTGTCATGTTTATATGTGGTATGAGAAGGCTAAGTTACATGATTTTTTTTTAAAGTTACTATACCTGAAAACCATTAAGGTTGGTGTAGGAAAAGATATATACTAAGATGTTTTTTTTCACCCATGGAAGCTTCTCTGTATCCAAATGCATTGAATGTCGAAGGGATTATAAGATATGATGTACATTTTGGATAAAGATGGAGGACTGAAATTGAGCTAAGAAGTACAAGAACAAGGAGTTGGTATCTTTTGGTGACATAAGGTGCAGATACAATCGAGATATGTAAGGAGTGGGACTTTTATAAGGCGTTAATAGTATTTGACTAAGTGTTGGTTAAATTAGATGAAATATTAGCAACTTCGTATAAAGAATGCTTGTATAAGATGTGTTATAGTTGGTAGTTGTCACCAAATAGATTAGCCAAGAAGTTTTTAAAGATGTCAAATGGATGTTGGATATGTAAACATAAATTGGGTATTTTGTATATATGGTAGAGGAAGTGGTACAAAAATCCTTAGTTTCTCAAACCTGAAATTTCTTTTTTTATTAGGCATTATACTGGGACATTAGTAAATAAGAAATGTATCTGACTTTATATGTAATCATGGCGGTGAGGAGTATATTCGCTTAATACTGGAAAAATGAAGAATTACCCATCAATGAACTGATTAAAAGTTTCTGGATTTTGCAGAAATGGTCAGACTGAATTTATCCTTGAAGGAGAAAGAAGATACTGACTTCTATCAAACTTGTGAATTTTTTCTTTTATTATTGGCTAGAGAAATGGGACTTTGCATACACTTCAACATGTTTTTGGACGTGGTTTAGATTTTAATATGTTTTTTAAGTTATCATAAATGGATTTGAATATGACTAAGGAGTGTTAAAAAAAGAAAAGTGAGTAGGGGGCTTACCCAGTATGTCTGATGTATTAGATGATTGAGGTTTTTAGTGTTAATTTAAAAATGTTATTAAAATTTATTTTTAAAAAACCCCCACACTGGAGAGAAGCCATACAAATGCATGGAATGTAGAAAGGCCTTCAGTGGGAGTGGAGACCTTACTCAACATCACAGGACCCACACAGGGGAGAAGACATTCACATGCATGGACTGTGGAAAGGCCTTCAGTCAGAGGGGATATGTTATACTGCATCAAAGAATCCACACTGGAGAGAAGCCATACAAATGCATGGAATGTGAAAAAGCCTTCAGTCGGAGTGCAGCCCTCACTCAACATCAAAGAACCCACATGGGGAAGAGGCTCTGCAGAAACATGCTGTGAGCAAGGAAGGAATCTTGAGGGTAGGCTGTGTGATGAAAATGTCAGCCCATTACACTTTCGCCCTGAAACTGTCAGATGCCGTTCTGGTCACAGTGGGGAATGGAAGCGAAGGTAGAATTTCTGGGTCTTATTCCGCTTGTACAGTTCTCTGTAGCAACTGCACTAGCAACACCGTCCCACGTTCTGGGGTTGTCCGGGGGATCAGCCCCTGAACCCCATTGGTGGAATGCTTAGGGCAGATCAAAGGACTTATTTCTGCACACAGCGTATCGCTTCACTGCAGGATTTGCTGCCATGGGAAATAGTAATGCCCACAATTGAGATGGCTTTAGGCAGGAATAGAGCAGGTCCCGGGAAGTAGCAACCACTAGGACTGAGCCCTGGGTGCCTGGCCTGGATGGATTTCAGGTATGGTGGGCCACCAGGTGGAGCTGGTTCAGCAAAGAAGCATGAGGCAGGAGTCTTAAGATCCGTTCTGGATTTGACAGGAAACCTGTTGAGTCCAGCATTTTCTTTGAAAGGGATGAAGTGCCCCAAGATACTCCGATCAGCAAAGCAGCTAAAAGCAGAGTGCAGCACCTGGGATGAGGGGCTCCAGGGGCAGGAAGCCGGATTCCGGCCAGGCGTCAGCCGGGCTGGCCATACGCCCATCCGAGTGACCACGGAAGCTGTGCCCTTGCGTGGTGGTGGCGCTGCCCCCCTGGAGGCACTGGAGAGGCCGCTGGATGGCCATCCGGGAGGGAAAATGGGCTGGGAGCCCGTGCTGAGCAGGGACTTGGGCGCCCTTCCCCTCCTGGCCGCTTCCGACTCTCCAGTGACGCTGAGCCATTGACGGTGACCGGCCAACATTTCCCCTTGGTGGCTGCTTAGCAGGGGTAGGACAAGTGGTCTCCCACCCTGAAGAAAACATGCAGGGAACGAAGTATTTGTTGTGCACTGCACAATGGGAAGAATCACACAGGCGTGCAAGGAACCTCGTGCGGAGGCCTGTGCCGGCTGCGGGGGTGAGAGGTCCCTTGGGCTGGACGCCCATCAGGTCCCCCTCCCAGTGAGAGCCCCTCTCGCTGCCATGTTCCCACACTGCTTCAGCTCCTCGCCCCTTTCTCCGCTTCCACCTTCGCCGGAGCCCTCGGAGGAAGTGCATTTGACCTTCCCCTGCTGTGCATGCCTTGTCTCCTCTGCGGATTGTGTGGTATCCATGCGGGAGTTCTCCTTTAGGGGCTCTGTGGAGGAGAAGGATGCCCACTACAGGAATAAGAGAGTGGGAATTGGACTCTTCCCCCCCTCAGACTTCGGGAACCTCCATAATCGGGAGGGCCTGGCTGCCTCCACTCTGCCAAACGGGGTCCTGCAGTGGACACGGTCCGATGTCTCTCACTGGCTTCCTTCCTTTCTTCCTGGTCTACACGGGGTAACCGTGCTGAGTATCAATTGCCTCCAGTTTCCAAGATTCAGCTTTGGGTCAAAATGGCATGCAATTCAGAGCTACATGGGAGGCGTCCAGTTGTGGAGCCCGGTAGCTCTGCCTTCTTCTTAGGCCATTCCAAGGCCCTGAGCAGCTCCTTCAGTCAGTCTGGGGGTTCCCTCCACTCCATGGGACTGCGAAGGCATGACACCGATCTGGTGCACATACAATGCAGCACTAATGAGCGGCCCAGCTCTTGTCCTGATCCCCCAGTTTGCATCCACAATTTAGGTGGTCTGACTTTTTGGCCGCTGCCCTCATAATGCATTTTTGAGGTGCAAATGCAACCTCACCACAAACGTAGCAGAAGTGTTGTTTGCACAGTTTCAAGGCATCTTGGCTTCATAAGGAAGATATCTCGCAACTGCTAGTTGGAAATGTTCGGCAATGACAGTTTCACAAGCCAGAGATGTAAGCGCCTGATGCCGAGATCTGACCAAGGCAAATGTGCGTTGCAATGGAAGAACAATAAAGTGCAGTTCGGGGACAATCTTTAGTCTCAGATGAAGTTGACTTGATCCACTTCCATGGGGTACCGTTTTCATTGTTCTACCGTACTTTGTCAGTACGTTCTGAGGCAGCATGTTCATCGTGTGCCTCTTTCCCTTGTAGGAAAATACACGCACCTGTGTATAAATCTTTACTGTGAAATATCTTGAAAATATTAGCCAACCAGCAACTTCACCACCTGTTTTCTATATTGTCTACTGAAAATATGTAAGTATTTTATTTCGGAGGTCGATCATTTCCCAGAATTGATAGACCAGGGTTATATGGAACATTCCATTCTCGAAGCTGATACAAATCGTGGCATTGATCCATTAGTTGATGTCATGTGATTTTATTTATGATTTATGACCATGATCTTGATTCTGGCCAGAGATGACAGAAATGAACCTCTGGGAGACTTTGCACCCCTCTTCCCAGCACTCGGTCTCTCGATGCTTCAGGAGGAAACCCCCCTCCACTGTCACTGCACAGACACAGATCTTTATCCGAGTCCCTTCACCCAGATTTGCACCTCTTGGGGCAGGAGGGGCAGGAACTGCCCTTGGCGTAGATCTCAGGCTGCCGAGATGGAGGGCAAAGCGTCCAGAGCCTCCTGCTCAAGGTTCCGGCTCATGAGGCCCCCCCGTCCCAGAACCGCCAGTCCCGCCAGTGCCGTCCTTCCCCAGCAGATCCCCCTCGGCTTCCCTGGGGAGCCCAAGGGATGGTTTGGGTTCAGAGAAGAGGGCGGTCCTGGGAGCCCCCTCCATGCCCAACCCCCGGGCATCCAAGCCAAGCTACGCTGAGGCCAGGTGGGAGGACGGGTCATGCGAAGCCAGTCCCTGTGGCTTTTCAGCCCGAGGAGAGAAGAGCTGTGTTTCTATGCTAGTGAGCTGCGTTTATACAAATCATGTCTGTGCATTTGTGTTTCCTGCCTGGGCAAATGGAGAGAGTAGCGTTCTTCTGAGCCCCAGTGCAGGGGAAGCACCCCAGTAACAGGCAGGCTGCGAAATCCCCCCTGCGAAGCGCGAAAGGGACTCTCCATTCAAGGCACAGAAACCGAAGGAGCAGCACATGCAGCTGGGGAAACCACCAGTTTTGGCCAGTAACTCTGATTGGTTGCGGAGGACTTGCTGCAAAGCTTTGTCACACCGATCCACAATTAAGGCTCGAAATCAGTTTCTTATCAGGGCAAACAGGTTTATTGAATTCATGAATCCATGGGTGCCTAAGTAGGAACATCCCATGTTAATTTCCTTAGGGTTATATAGAATGTACAAAAGGGGAGTGAATACAAAACACAGGAATGGGATTGGATTCTTAGATATGGATAGGAAAGTGATTGGACACATGTCACAGCACTATAAAAAAAATTTACATTTCACTCTAATTAGATGCCTTTGACAGGCCTTCTAAACTATAGTTGCCTTGAACAGGCTGGCCAAGTTAAGTAAACAGAAAGGTTGCAGGTGTGAACTTACAGGGTTAGGGAGGCACTTTAGCAAGCCTGTAACACACGGCGATTGCACTTTGACAGTTACCCACTAATGGAGTGGGGTCCTCTGGTCTCCACCACCAGACGCCGAGGCCTCTTTTGAGGTGTTTGTGGCAGGGCAGTGGGGTGGGATGGCAAGAATTGCTTTTCTGAGTACAGCTTTCCTCGCTTTTACCATCCCACCAAACTGCCAAGTGTAACATGACTCTGCGTGTATCTGAGTCAACAGAGTCAGGAAAAGCCAGGGCTCGGACCACTGAAGGTGCCCCCCCCCCGGGGTGTTTAGTCCACAGGGATTGTCATCGTATGAGTACTCTGTATACTACTCCACTCATGACAACAGCCTCTGTTTCCACCATGCCTTACCAAAAATGCTATCCCACCAGTGCATGTAAATAACTGCAGTGTTTTTGCTCTGTGGCCTCCCTCTGGCTCGCCATTCTTGAGGTACTTTTGGGTGCCGCAATTGGCTCCAGCTTCTAGCAAAGGACAGATTCTGCCTGACCAGGCAGACAGGACGCCAAGCCCCTGCAGCTTCTTCACCTTGAAGGTGCAGGCAGCCTGTGCAGGTGAGGGCCGTTTGGATGAACACAGAAGCACAAAAGTGGAGCGACTCCGAAGGGACCCCCTGGGGCAACCAGCCTGACCCCAGGCTCCAGCCAGCTCTGTTCATGACATGCCTGAGAAATACTAGAATAATTGTTGGCAAGCTCTGCCAGTAACAGCCTCAGTTGGAGAACCAAGGAAGCAACCCTCCCAAGCCACTTTGACCAGAATGAAACGTAGAGCAGCTCATAAAGCATGGAGCTTTTAAATGTGATGCGCCAAAGAAAGAGTTTGTTTCATCTTCAAGTGTTGCAAACCCTGTCCTGGCTTGCCAGCAGTGCAGTGTCTAGCAACTTTGTGTGGCAAGTTGCTGTGGTTGGGCTTTGTATGTCTGAAATGGCATCGGCTGCTTCACTACAAACTCTGGGTGCAGATACAGCACTCTAATGCCATGGTGAGTTGGGAAAACTCCAAATGGTGGAAGAATAGCACAGGGAAATGAATACCCCACCCCCCTTTTTGAGAAGATCTTCCACCACTGTTTGAACTACTTCTCTGCAGGTAGGGCAAGCGCCCCTGGGGAATCCTGTAAT